CTCTGCTCCCCGCTCTGTCTCTGGTGAATTCTCTCATCCTCCCGCGCTTCTGACTGTACCCAGTGCATGTATAAACAAAACAAATAAATAAAATAAATAAAACATGCCTCTATAAAAAAAAAACCTATTAAAAGTCCAAATAAGTAAAGAAATTAAGTGAACTACATTTAGATTAATGTAAGTCATTGTTTCCTTGACATCTTTAATCAAAATCTCCTGGACTCCCTCTTGGAGATACTCATTCCCGGCAATGTGGGACTCTGCATTTTGACGAAAACTTACTCTCCATTCTGAAGTTTAAGAACAATACTCTATGCTTTAATGTTCAGAGAAAGGAATCAATTATATGTTTTTTGAAATGTTACATTTTTGTTAACATGCTTTGTGATATGACAAAGATAAGATATATAGTTTTAAGATATTCTTCCTGTAAAATCTTTTTGTTACAAAATGGCTTCCTTTAAATGTTATAAAGAAACACAATACAGGATATTTTTAAGAAAAGAGAGATACCCCCATTGTATAAATATTTTTATTTTCTGTGTTCCATAAATAGCTATAATACCATATTCAATTTTACATACTTCCACTAGTGCCATGGCAAACATTTTCCTATGTGAAATGGGTTTTTTAAAACTAATTTTCAGTGATTAATATTATTTTCATGAGTATATCATAGTATATTTAGTCTATCTCCATTGTAATGCCTGAAGGGTTACCCCCAACTCCTCATTATTTAACTGTTAAAAGTAATATTGCAGTGCTTTTCTCTGTTTGATTCCCAGAAGTAGAAGACAGTGGTAAAAACTGTGAACTGAAAATGTTATATACCAGTTTGTACAGTTACCACAGATGTGTATATGCCCTATGTTTATCTCACCCTTGATGTTGTTGAGTAGAAATCTACTTAAAATGCCAAATTAACTTAAATGATGTTGCTAAGTTAGTATTATAGGTTCCACATTTTAATTTGTATGCCTTTGATTACTGATTAAATTTTTTTTTTAGCTTTTAACTAAGCAAGCCCACACCACTAATGACAACTTTTTTGTTGTTTTATGCATTGTGAATGTTATGACCATATACTCATGTTTTTTGTTTTTTTAATCATGGGACAGATTCATAGCCACCACTATGATTCATATAACCCCTTGCTGCTCCTTAATGTTAAATTATAAATTTCCAGAACTTGTAAGGCTCTGTAAACCATCTAGTCCAAATAGTATGCCTACTTTGACTTTGAAAGCACCACCTTGTAGAAAGTGCTCCCTGCTAGAGAATAAATTGATGCTTTGCTTTCTCTGTTCTATCCACTAGATAATTTGGAGTAAAATAATCTCTTTCACATGGTCCTCCTGTTACCTCTTTTATTTACCCCTTAGTGTGGTGATTGGCCTTAAACTACCTTGGCCTCTAGTTTCATTGGGCCTTCTACTCTGATATTTCCACAAAATCTTTACTTTTTCTGATTCACACATTCCAAAACTAGCCCCATTTCACTCCACGTGAAAACCCTTATTTCCTCAGTGAATGTTGGTCACAACTAGAAATTAGAAAGTCTTTTTCCCCTCAAGCTATGAAAGACTAATAGGATTCGCAAGAATATTTTAAGAGGAAGTGTTAATTGAATAATCAGACTTTCAGACTATAATTTGAGAATTTAAAGGAAATATTGAGATAAACACTATTTGACTATTAATTTCAGCACTTTTTCACTTTAGAAGAAGAATTTACAGAAACTTGATGTACAATTTAGGAGTGGTTGCAGACACTAGCCAAAATGAGGCAATACATTTTATTTTTTAATTTTTTTTTCTAGAAAAGAAAAATACTGGATGGTCTCACTTATAGGAGGAATGTAGCGGATCCAAATAAGGGATCAGGAAAAAAAAATGTAGCTATAATAAAGTAAGAATCAAAATCAATAGACAACTATAAACGAGACATTCTGCAGGTGGTGAGAAGGGAGTAGGATCAAAACAGGGGTGGAGGGCCTCCCTGGTGGCCCAGGCGGTTGAGCACAGCACTGTAAAACTATCTGCAGCCTCTGCAGCACGGGTTCGATCCCGGCCGTCCCGGGAGATACCCACATGGTGCAGCAGACCTCTCCTGTCTCACCCACTGCTCCCCTCAGCAATGTATTTCAGTCAATCTGCCTGTTCTGTTCCCCACTGTGTCTCTGGTGAATTCTCTCACTCTCCTGCACATCTGGCCTGTACCCCGGTCCTTGTACACATGAATAAATAAATCTTTTTTTTAAAAAAAAAAAGTGGGTGGGAAGAGCACAAGGGACAGTGGTGATGATTCATGGGTGAATGGGTGGTGGGCATTTCATGGGGACTGTAACCGAGATAAAAATGCATACATTGTACAAAATATATAAAATAATAATTAAAAAAAGGAGACAATACATTTTAAACACAAAATTTGGTAATCCATTTTTGAATAATTAGTCATGAAAAAAATTTCAAGTAGGCTTTTTGGTTTTTCTTGTAACATGAGAATTAAAAACAAAAAAAAAATGTAGTTACCTACTTTAACTGGGCTTTTCTTTGCTATAGCTAGAAATACAAACATCCTCTTTACAGCCTCCCAGCTTTACATAAATAGCAAGTGAAAGCTTTTTGACTTGGTGAATGAGGTAATTATTGAGTGGTTGGTTGGAATGTTTGCTATTAGCTGCACAGAATTATTAACTACTTAGTCCTGGTGGTTAATTACTGTAATTAAAATAAGTAAACCTTGTTTAGATAATTGCTGAACCTGTTTAGCTTGCATTTTAGGATTAGCATGTGTATCAGTTTGTAAGTCAAAGGACCTTATTAGATTTTGAGGAGGTTGAAATAGTGTTATAGCAAATCCCAGATTACATGTATGGAATACCTTGGAAACAAACTATAATCTATACTGTTGTCGATAGATTAAAATTTTGACTTATTAATATGAACTGCTTTTATTAAAGTCCAGTACAATGCCATCTAGTCCCTTGGTAACTTTTTTATAACCTCTTATTTGATATTGTTGATCAGTTTTTCCCTGAAATTCTTTCTCATTTTTTGGGCTATTGCCTCCTGGTTTATCTGGTTGTTTAGGATCCTTTCCTATTGGTCATCTTTAAATGTTGGTGTAATATGGCATTTACCCTATCTCATTTTCTACTTATCTAGAGTTTCTTAATTTCATCTGCCTTTCAAATCATTTTGGGAAGAGTCTTCAAAATATATTTGGATATATTTTCAAAGCCTCATTGAAATGTGATCTTTCCAGGCTGGTGTGATTTCTCAGTTCTTCGAAATACTGATGCTCTTGGATATCTCTCATAATCCTGATCATATTCTGCATTGTATTAATGGTTATTTGTATTTCTTGCCTTTCCTACCATACTTAAGTTTTTTAAAGCAAGCACTGCACTTTATCTTTGCATTCCCATTAATTTTTTAGTACAAAATGATCATCTGCAGACTCTCAGATACTATTCTAATCCCTGAAAATCTAGCTATGAACGAAGTATGGTCCCTGCCATTTACTAATACCACTCAAGAATACTTTTTAAATTATGAAAATAATACAGGCTTAGTGAAGGAAATTTATAGCAGTCGGGGATGTGAAAATCTAGGGGAAAAAACTTAACTACAGCTCTCCTATTCCATAGTAGGCATTATTAACATTTTAATGGGTTGCTTTTCAGAATTTGTTTTTTTATCACAAAACTTTTATTTTGTCCTGTTTCCTCCTCCTCCCCCACCCCTCACCACCACCATACAAAAGGAGAAAAATTTAAGTTATCAAATAAGGTATAAACTTAAGTTTGTTTGTATAGTGTTAATTTTTGAATATGATTATACCTTTACACTTACCATTCAAAAAAGTTTCATAAGTATCCAAATTTTCCACTGAAGCATCTAAGTGAAAATATTGTAGATGCTTCTGATTATGCCCATATGTTTGGGTTTTATTCTAGTCCCCCCACCCCTTTTTTGAAGGCATAAAGTTAAAGCAGAAGGAGGTAGGTATGGAGGACCTATAACTTATTTTCCTGAGACTTAGAAATTTCTGGAGTTTTTACATCTAGAAAAAAGTGGTATCCCCCCACTCAAAGGGAGTAGGCCATACTATCCGGAATAGATCTTACCATTCTTGAAAGCCAATATAGAAAGAATTCAGCCTAATATAGAAATAGTAAGGTTAATGCTGTGACATCAGCTATTTGGACTTAAGATGCCTATTAAACTAATTGAATTATTAATAACTGAATTCTTTAACCCTGTACCATATTAATTGATATAACTTGTAGTTTATTTTAATCTTGCATTATGTATACATTGGGACTGTTTGTAGTTTGGTAAAAAATAACTATATGTTAGGTATGGTATACTAGATTCAGCACGAAGAGTGAAAGAAGAGTACATGATATTAGAAACTGTCTTAGCTTCCTGAAGCAGAGTACTGTAAAAAATAGTTACTTGTAATTTTTTTGTGTCTGGTTTATGAAATGGTACCCTTCTACTTAGAATGATTGGTGTATGGGTGAATAAATTGTTAGGTATTTTTGGGGGGGCTTAGCCTTATACTAAAATACATGATGATTAATATTTCTTTGTGTCAGTGAATTTCTACATTTTACAGCTGCATGATTTACTGCTTTGTCATTAATTATGTGTTATAAATGCTTATACTTATTTTACATTTTACTGAAGCAGCAATATATAATCTAACTTTGGTCTTTCGTAATGTATTACTATATTGTCAGATATATTACTTATAAAGAATGTAGAATTACAAAACTCAAAAAAGAACCCTTGCTAATAATGAGTCTAATTTATTAAGAGCATGAGGAACATGTTCTAACAGGGACAACTAAGTTTTAAAAGAACTGATTTCTTCATACTGTATTTCCTGTCATTTCCATGAAGCAGGTTTGATTATAGCATTGTTTGAATATTTAAGGTCAATAAAATGACTGAGTTTAACATATCTTTTCTGTCCTTATTTTCTTTCAGGTGAATCTGGACTGGGAAAGTCAACATTAATCAACTCATTATTCCTCACAGATTTGTATTCTCCAGAGTATCCAGGTCCTTCCCATAGAATAAAAAAGACTGTACAGGTATGTATATTAATATTGCTATTTGATAAGCTGGAGTAATGTTGACACATGTAAAACATATGCTCTAATTTATTGTATTTGCCTTGAAGTAGGCTTGAAATTTGACTTTAGCAAATATAAAGTGGTAAACATTATTTTTAATAAAATAAAAATAGAGAAATGTATAGATAAATTATCTTTATTAGAATTTTCTAAGTTTGTCCTCAGCAACTGTCCAGTGATTACACTCTGATATAGTAAATAATACCCATAAAATTATGATGTCCATTATGGTAGCTACTAACACATATGTGACTGTTTAAGTTTGAGTGAAATTAGAAGAAAAAATTAAAAATTCACAGTCTTGGTTAAATATTACAAATGCTCCATTGCCACGTGTGGCAAGTCACTGTCATTTCGGTAGCACTGATGTATTTCTGCTATTGAAGAAAGTACTATTAGACATAGAGAAAACATGATTTGCAGAAAAGCCTTTATTATTTAAATATAGTGTTCTATATTAGTGGCATAATACCACATGATATTTGAATGTCAATAGCAGTTTGTTAAGCCTCCCAAACTATGTTGGGGTCTAATTCAGTGCTTCTTGATATTTAAGGTGCATTCAAATCATCTAGGGATCTTGACAGATTTAGTTTTTGTTCTTTTAAGACCGATTCCACTTTTTTTTTTTTAAGATTTATTTATTTATTTTATACAAGCACTGGGTACAGTCAGAAGTGCGGAAGGGTCAGAGAATTCACCAGAGCCATAGCGGGGAACAGAACAGGCAGACTGACGAAATACACTGCTGAGGGGAGCAGCAGGCATGGCAGGAGAGGTCTGTCGCACCATGTGGGACCCTGGCTGGCGGTCGGGGATCGAACCGGCGCTGCAGAGGCTGCAGGCAGCTTCGCAGCCCAGTGCTCAACCGCTGCGCCACCAGGGGAGGTCCCCGATTCCACATTTTTAACAAAATCCCAGATGATGCCATTGCTACTGACTGACTCTTGGATAACCACACTTTATTTTATAAAATGCTGGATACACTCTAGATTTGCATTGTCCAATATAGTAGCCAGACATGGCTGTTGAACTCTTAAAAATACATGGGTAGTCCAAATGGAGATGTTAACGCAAGTTTAAAATGTACCAAGGATTTTAAAGACTTACCATGTTTTTTAAAAAAAGTGAAGTATCTCATTAATACGTTTTTGTATTGATTACCTTTTATAGTGCTATTTTGGTGATACTGAGTTAAATATTAATTTTACCTGTTTGTTACTACTTTTCAATGTGGCACTGAAAAATTTCAAATTTACTTACATGGCTTACATTGTTTTTTTCAGTCAGCACTGCTCTAAACTCTTTTTTTTTAAAGATTTATTTATTTATGCATACAAGAGCTGGGGTACAGGCCAGAGATGCAGGAGGTTAGAGGATTCACCAGAGACAGAGTGGGGAACAGAACAGGTAGATTGACTGAAGTACACTGCTGAGGGGAGCAGCGGGCAAGTCAGGAGAGGTCTGCTGCGCCATGTGGGTTGCCTCCCTGGCTGGCTGGGGATTGAACTCATGCTGCAGAGGCTGCGGATAACCCCTTGCGCCAGTGCTGTCCTTTACCCCTTGCACCACCAGAGGGGCCCAGCACTGCTCTAATCTCTTAATTGAAAAGAATTTTTCGTGGATTGATGCAGTAACACTTAGCACACACTCAGTGAATAGATGAGTTAGTAGTTCTCGCTAGAACAGATTTTATTGAGACAATGATGCTAGAGCTGCATTGAAAGGATTGGTACTAGGGCCTTCCCGATGGCGCAGCAGTTGAGCTCTGGGTTGCGAAGCTGCCCGTAGCCTCTGCAGCGCCAGTTTGATCCCCAGCCGCCGGCGAGGGTCCTACATGGCACACAGACCTCTCCTGCCGTCCGCTGCTCCCCTCTGCAGTGTACTTCGGTCCTTCTGCCTGTTCTGTTTCCCGCTGTGGCTCTGGTGAATTCTCTCATTCTCTGTACCCAGTGCTTGTATAAGTAAATAAATCTTTAAAAAAAAAAAAAAAGAGTATGAAAAAAAAAATAAAGGATTGGTACTAATTATACCAGTGCACAAGATGGAAGGATCATTTGAAAATTCTGGACAGAAATTCATTTATATCAAACTGCAACATGAAGTTTAGTCATTAGATCGCTTAAGTCATTTTATGAATTATATATTTTATCCATATCTAATTATCATCACTGATTCTCTAAACTGTAAGACTGAATATTTTTCCTTTTTACTATACTAATTTTTTTACAGCTTATATTTTATAATTAAAAATACCTTTCAATAAAGAATTATAATAGGAAAGAACGAAGTAGCTACAGAGTCATAGTAAGAATTGGTTCTAGATCTGTTTAATAAAACCTATTTCTATAAAGTCCTAATTCCAAAAATAAATTTGTCAAACAAACAAATTTACCTAGTATTGATAGACCATCTTGTTTTGCCTACCCCCTAAACCTCCCTGCAGGTTTTCCTATCTAAATGGCACTCAGTTACTCAGAAACTTGGAGCTATACTTAAATACTTTATCTCTTACGCCACATGTAGTACACCAACAAATTCCATTAGCTCTACTTTCACAATGTTATCTAGAATCTACCACTTGCCTAGTACCACTCATATCTAGGTCATCATCTTTCTTTGTCCTGGATTATAGTAGCCTCCTCATTAGACTCCTTGATTTGATCACTACCTCTTGGCCACCATCTCTCTCGTTTTGAAAACTAAGCAAATATAAGTCTGTGAGTAAGATCATGTTGCACCTCTGTTCAAAACTTTTCAGTGGCTTCCCATTTCAAAACAATTTAAAAATTGTGAGAAGTAGTGTATTAGTTTAGTTGGGATATTTTAAATTTTAAGTGTATTTTGGGGGTTTGTTGCTCTTTTCTTGGTCTGTAAAGTCCTATAAATAAGTAAATTAAGTGGAGTGATTTTAAATAATTTTTGAATTTAGTAATCAATTTTGAAATTTAGTTGATTATTTTCATTTTGTCTTGAGCAGCATATTATTAAATTTAATTTTATTTACTATATAGATTGTATACTGAAAGGACACAGATTCAACTTTAGAGTGTGATGAATTTTTACATGTGTATTCACAGATTTTGATAAAGTACATTTCCAGCAACCCAGAAGGCTCCTTATGCCTTCTTAATTTTGCTATCCTTGAATTTCTTTTGGATACGCTCTTGTGTCTGATTTCTTTCACTAAGGATTGCCTGTGATATTTGTATATGTTGTATAGTTGCAGTTCCTTTTCATTGCTGTCATTTTTCCACTGTATGAATATAGTCATGTATTTAGTAACAATGGGGATATGTTCTGAGAAATGTGTTATTAGGCAATATATATTTTTTGTCATTGTGTGAACTTCATAGCATATAATTACATAAGCTTAGATGATTTAACCTGTTACACACCTAGACTACAGGGTGTAGGCTATTGGGACCACCATCCTATAGGCAATATTTCATGCTTTCAGTTTATTTTCTTTGATTTTTTTTTATGATGTTGAACATATATTCATTAACTGTTCAGATTTCATTAAAATGTTTTTTCCTTGTTAATGTTTCCTATTTTTTCCTGTTAATTTGGAGGATTTCCTTATGTAGGTAATGGTTCCTTACATTTCAGATATTGCAGATGTCTTCTTCCAGGCTATTCTTTGTTAAAGATGTGAGAGGTTCTCAATTTGTTATAATTCTTTTTACATTGGCCTATTTGCAAAATGATCCTATCTAAATTCATTTTACCTTTTACATTTCAAAAGTGTCTTCTTCCATTGTGAATGTATTTTGACTCTCCATGCCTTAAGAGCAAAGGAATAATTTATGTCCTAGAGTCATAACTCCTTAGTAAGATTTTTTTAAGCCAAAGAAGGATCTTTGTACCACTGTTAATCCTTCCCTTTTAAGCCAAAAGTAATACCTATAACTTCTGAGACCTGATTGACCCTGTGAGTCCCACAGAATTTCTTTCTTCATATTTCCATGTTACTTTTAAGTCTTACACTATAAAGGGAACAGTGAGGAACAACCTAAATCTAAACTCTTTTCTGCACTTACCCACTAGATAACATAACACATTATGGGCAGAACTAGAGTTATTCAGTGTAGTACAGAGTTGAATGTAATTATCTTTAATATTTGACTGGCTCTTCAGGAGGCTCAGTAATGAAGCAGATGATCTGCTCTTGAATGCTCACAAATTTTCTCCATGGAAAGTGGTTAGAAGTGTTGCATCTCAGCCCAGACATTTTAGACCAGGAAAAGTACACTCCAGAGTTTCAAAAGGCAAATTTCTGCAATTTCCCTAAACTGAAAGCTTTCTTGAATACTTCCAACTGTTAAAAAAGAAGAAAAGAATGGGTCTCCCCTGGTGGTGCAGGGGAGACCCATTGCAGCTGTTGAGCGCTGGGCTGCGAAGTTGTCCGCAGCTCTGCAGCACCGGTTCCATCCCCGGCCACAGGTGAGGGTCCCACATGGTGTGCAGACCTCTCCTGCCGCGCCTGCTGCTCCCCTCAGCAGTGTCCTCCGTCTGTCTGCCTGTTCTGCTACCCGCTCTGGCTCTGGTGAGTTCTCTCACCCTCCCGCGCTTCTGACTGTACCCAGTGCTTGTATAAATAAATAAATTAAAAGAAAAGAAAATTCTTCTCCTGTGATGTGACCAGCGGGGAGTGAAAACATCACAGTATCATAATCTCCATTAGCATTATTTATTTACAAAAGACTTACATCTTAATGAAGAAATTGCTTTCCATTCATAGTCTTGGAAGGAAGGAGAAGCTGTCTCCAGTAAATAGATGCTTATAAACTTTCCTGTATATCAGTGGTTCTGATGTAGTGAGGTTTTCAATATTAGATAGAAGTGTTCTAAGATTCATTCTTAACTTCCCGTGCTAGGCCTGAGGACCCTGAGGCTTTGCAGTTTTAAATGTGAGCTGACGTGTGTTTCAGAGTTCTTTGTACTAGCGTTTCTCA